TTAAAGTAACATGTGGGTGTATTTTATATCAGGTGGGACTGGATAATAGATTTATACACAAAATCACATGAGAACTGTCAACAAACACATGAAAGAGATATTTGTACATATAAAGAAAATCTGTTATATGATGTCTAGACCTTAGGCAGGGTAAGGTATAGAGATTGTGCTGAAGCCAAAAGTGGCCTATATACATGTTTAAATATTGATACAATAAATATATCATCAGTTCTAAGGTTGAAGTCTTATCAACTATAGCTAGGTATTGTGTCTATGAACAAACGCAATATTGAAATTCTTGTTCTTGTTATTTTTTCTGTTGCTATATACTTTACCAGCAGGGGCATTGTAGCAGCCTATACGCTGGTATGCCAGTGGATCCACTAAATTTTCAAACAGAATAAAAAACAAAAATGCTGATTGCTTCTAACTCCACTATAAACAAGGGCTGGTTATATCCTTCTGACCAGATGCATACTAACTATTTTGGAGGAAGAAACTTGATTTTCAGGGCACTGTTATTTGAAGTCTCAGTTTTTCCATTATATGCACATCTTATTTATGTTTTGATTATGAACATGCCGAACCAGCCCCCCATCACTAGCCACTGGGTCACAGGTCCAAGGCCTATACGTGGACAGGTACCGGTACTGGCTGCAGGTCACTCCGGCTTTCCTCCACGANCCCCCCCCCCCCCCCCCCATCACTAGCCACTGGGTCACAGGTTCAAGGCATATACTGGACAGTCGACAGGTACCGGTACTGGCTGCAGGTCACTCCGGCTTTCCTCCAAGACCAAAACCTGGCACGTTCTTAAATGACCATAGCTGTTAATAAGACGTAAAACACAAACAAACCTTGTTTGGTTTCATTTGATTTATTGGAAATTACTCATTGGTTTCAGTGTAATGAGGGTACACAGGTGTCACCGCGGAGATACTACACATTATAATCAGGGTACACAGGGGTCACTTTGGAGATACTACACATTGTAATCAGGATACACAGGTGTCACTGTGGAGATACCATTGTAATCAGGGTACACAGGTGTCCCTGTGGAGATACTACACATTGTAATCCGGGTACACAGGTGTCACTGTGGAGATTCTACACATTGTAATCAGGGTACACAGGTATCCAGGTACACAGGTGTCACTGTGGAGATTCTACTTATTGTAATCAGGGTACACAGGTGTCCCGGTGGAGATACTGCACATTGTAATCAGGTTACACAGGTGTCACTGTGGAGATACTGCACGTTGTAATCAGGGTACACAGGTGTCACTATGGAGATACTACACATTGTAATCAGGGTCCACAGGTGTCACTGTGGAGATACTAAACATTGTAATCAGGGTACACAGGTGTCACCGCGGAGATACTACACATTGTAATCAGGGTACACAGGCCACTGGGTCACAGGTTCAAGGCATATACTGGACAGTCGACAGGTACCGGGACTGGCTGCAGGTCACTCCGGCTTTCCGCCACGACCAAAACCTGGCACGTTCTTATATGACCATAGCTGTTAATAAGACGTAAAACACAAACAAACCTTGTTTGGTTTCATTTGATTTATGGGAAATTACTCATTGGTTTCCGTGTAATCACAGGGTACACAGGTGTCACTGTGGAGATAATACACATTGTAATCAGGGTACACAGGTGTAATTGTGGAGATACTGCACATTGTAATCTGGGTACACAGGCGTCATTGTGGAGATACTGCACATTGTAATCAGGTAACACAGGTGTCACTGTGGAGATACTGCACGTTGTAATCAGGGTACACAGGTGTCACCGCGGAGATACTACACATTGTAATCAGGATACACAGGTGTCACTGTGGAGATACCATTGTAATCAGGGTACACAGGTGTCAATGTGGAGATACTACACATTGTAATCCGGGTACACAGGTGTCACTGTGGAGAGACTGCACATTGTAATCAGGGTACACAGGAGTCACTGTGGAGATACTGCACATTGTTATCAGGGTACACAGGTGTCACTGTGTAGATACTACACATTGTAATCAGGGTCCACAGGTGTCACTGTGGAGATACTACACATTATAATCAGGGTACACAGGTGTCACTGTAGAGATACTACACATTGTAATCAGGGTCCACAGGTGTCACTGTGGAGATACTACACATTATAATCAGGGTACTCAGGTGTCACTGTGGAGATACTACACGTTATAATCAGGGTACACAGGTGTCACTGCGGAGATACTGCACATTGTAATCAGGTAACACAGGTGTCACTGTGGAGATACTGCACGTTGTAATCAGGGTACACAGGTGTCACTGTAGAGATACTACACATTGTAATCAGGGAACACAGGTGTCACCGCGGAGATACTACACATTGTAATCAGGATACACAGGTGTCACTGTGGAGATACCATTGTAATCAGGGTACACAGGTGTCATTGTGGAGATACTGCACATTGTAATCTGGGTACACAGGTGTCATTGTGGAGATACTGCACATTGTAATCAGGGTACACAGGTGTCACTGTGGAGATACTACACATTGTAATCAGGGGACACAGGTGTCACTGTGGAGATACTACACATTGTAATCAGGGGACACAGGTGTCACTGTGGAGATACTACACATTGTAATCAGGGGACACAGGTGTCACTGTGGAGATACTACACATTGTAATCAGGGGACACAGGTGTCACTGTGGAGATACTACACATTGTAATCAGGATACACAGGTGTCACTGTGGAGATACTACACATTGTAATCAGGATACACAGGTGTCACTGTGGAGATACTACACATTGTAATCCGGGTACACAGGTGTCACTGTGGAGATACTACACATTGTAATCCGGGTACACAGGTGTCACTGTGGAGATACTACACATTGTAATCAGGGGACACAGGTGTCACTGTGGAGATACTACACATTGTAATCAGGGGACACAGGTGTCACTGTGGAGATACTACACATTGTAATCCGGGTACACAGGTGTCACTGTGGAGATACTACACATTGTAATCAGGATACACAGGTGTCACTGTGGAGATACTACACATTGTAATCAGGATACACAGGTGTCACTGTGGAGATACTACACATTATAATCAGGGTACACAGGTGTCACTGTGGAGATAATACACATTGTAATCAGGGTACACAGGTGTCACTGTGGAGATAATACACATTGTAATCAGGGTACACAGGTGTCACTGGAGATACTACACATTGTAATCAGGGTACACAGGTGTAACTGTGGAGATACTACACATTGTAATCAGGGTACACAGGTGTCATTGTGGAGATACAGCACATCGTATTTCATAAGAGTTAGAAGGATGAAGATCAATGAGTTTTAAAACACAAATCATTATCTGTCTACAGTAATCTCAGGCATGATATACAACCTAGAAAGCTACATTTTTAATGCACATGGGCTAGAAAATAAGGGAAGCCCAGTAGACTGAGACTTGTGAAATGTGAAGATGGACTACTGGGTCTTGAAACAGCTAGCCCTATTGACTAGTCAAAACCTGATTGTTCCATATCCTGTGGAATGACATTGGGACTGTGTTTGTGGAATTTTTCAAATAGACTATTATAAGTGGAATCTACTAGTTAGACCAATTAACTCGTGATCTGTAAAATTACTTTCTCAAAGTCCTGTAATAACTGAAGCAAACCAAATATTGTGCAGAAAGGAATTGTTGTGTGTTGTTTATTCAGTGCCAAACTGAAACTATTCAAAAATGAAATACATCATTTAATTAAATAATATTTTATTGATAATGTATAAGAATTACAAAAATATCATGAACAGATATTAAGAAATATAAAATAATACATATATTATCAAAAGAATGGGACAACAGGCTTAAGCCTATATCAGCCTTTTCCTTAAATAAGCGGTTGTATAATATATGAATCAATTTATTATATTAGGTATTCATAATGGGCAGTAAAACAAGAAGGGGAAAACATGATTAATTAATTACAATATTACTCCCATTCATACTTCATTATTATAATTATTTAGCTTTGTTCTTTTTAAGTAGGACCTTGTTGCCACGTGACAGTACATGAAGATTTATATATATCCTTATATATTGTATGCAGATACATGATGTGCTGTCTAAAATTATTTTAATGAAATATATACCTAGGTAGGTATATACATTCAGTATTCTCATAAAACCCTAGAGAAACAAATATGTTGTAGTTATAGTGTTAACAGTGTTCTGTAATTAATTCATTTTACTCAATAACCCCTGAAATTTCATAATGAACTATTCCGACCTTTGAATTGGAAGAGTTCAAACTTGTCTTCAGGGGTGAGTGAGTTAATCAGTACTTTTTTTTACCTAGACTACAGCTAATCATGCAATCACAATTTCTATGATTAATCATTGTTTTTGACTATAATATGAAAACTTTCAAGTGCTATTGAGTCATAACGAGCAGAGACATGAATAATTGATGACATCATTAGAGTCTGATATTTAGTCTACGAAATAAGAGAAATATCTAGACCATCGATTGAAAAACACAGACTATTATATATGGGCTCTCTATTTACAATGTATGAAACATTTATAGACTAAATATCAGATTCCTGTGGTCTTGTACATATACCTGGTACGCTGTAATATATATGTTATGGTATATAGAGTTGTATGTCATGACTCTGGCCTTTACAAACACATTCTCTCGGTGGCAAGGCCATATCAGTATCTCATAGCTATATAGTCACGGGTATGTATAACATGTGTTTGTGTGTTAAAATACTTTTCGAAGGTAGAAGAGGTCATGCATGATGACTAAACATGATATCTGCTAAATTCTATGTATTTTTGACCTAAAATGACCTCGATATATACAATTTGATAGAATATAGTTTGGTCATTTTGCAAGATGTTTTGAAATTTTCTTACAATCATAATTATTTTTTGTTATTTCTCCATTCAAAGCTTCCTTTTAACGTGGAGTTATTGAGGTCTTGGCCACAATTGGTCAATAAGATATAAAATGGAAGCAGATTATTACTCTGAGAGGACAGGTAAGATGTTTCCATTCTGTCTTTATCCGCCATGTTATTTAGTTTAATGCTAACCTTTGTTTGGTATTTGTTGTATATTGTAAATGTTTTTTCGTAGAACAACAGGTCACCTGTTGCATGTGAATGAAAACATTAGTTATTTTAAGTTACAGAAAATTGCGCTGACATTTTAAGACAGACTGGTGATTCAATGTCATGAGTTATGAAATATGACAGACTACAAATTGTATCTAGATATGCACGTACTGCGTCACATTACTTTCAGTCAATAGTCTGTGTAACTACTAGTACTGCATGTGTTATTAATGGGGTTGTATTCACATAAACAGGTCCTTTTGCATAATTCAAATAGAAATATTGAAAAAATGATGTGGTCCTTTTGAATTATGAAAAGTTCTTTTTACACAACCAATGAAAGTTTCTATGTGACGTTTTGATGACTTGTACGGTATGTACACTGTCACCTTCATCAGACAAATGACCAGTGAAGCGTATGCACACAAAGGTGTAATATGTGTACGAGTTGTCCACAAAATCGATGTCGATTCAGCTACACTGTAAACATACATTGTATGTACAATAGCTGTTATACATTGTATATGTAGTGAAATGACTCGATTCAGCTACTCTTTGTTAAATACTTGCATTTGGTCATAGATGTGCGAGAGCCTATGAGCCCCCTCATCTCGATTTAGAACTGGCCTACTGCAGCATATCAAGATGGCTTCCTTTATCTGCTGCTTGAACAGATTGCTCTCTCTGTCCAATAATTTGGAGTTATCCCAGCCAATCACATGATTTTTCTGTGTGGCATGGTCTGTCCAATTTATTTATTATTCCTTTTGAAGTTCTATGCTTCAAAAAGACATGGGGACAACATCAATGGTTTTCCTGCCATTATAAGCATCATCAATTTCAAGTCAAATTTGCAGGTCAATTTTAAAAAGAAGTGCAAACAAAACTCCCCAATATAACATGAATATTTAATCCGAATTCACATAATTTTTTGTTTGAGTCAGTTTGACCTGAAATTAAAAAAGGTTTCATAAGAAATGGACCTGAATTTAACCAGAGTTTGACCTGAAATTCAGGTCAATTTCAGGTCAACATTTTTTCTGGACAATTTGACCTCAGATTGGCCTTAAAAAATGTTCATGTTAAATTGACCTGAATTTAAGTGAATTTGAACTGAACTTCAGGTCAATTTCAGGTCAAATTGACATGAAATTTTGCTTGTGTACCTAGTTATTGCTTGGTACCGTTTTTAGTTCACTTGATCCCATAATGCAACACAAAAATTATTTTCTCCATTACAATGAAACTTTTTGTTTTCATTAACACCAGTCGGTAATTGTCAGCTGAAAATGAGACCCATGTACAATCAGTGAGTTGACCATTATGATCGCTGACTATATAACATTGATGAGGACTTCATGACTGAGACGAAAACTTTATGGCAACAACTATGATTTGCTTTGCATTATTATAGGTTATGTTCCTATAGTGTTTCAATCACACACATGCTCACTAGATCAGATTTTAATTTGTTTTCATACAGTTGGCCAATTCCCCGCATCATTGGTATTGTCTGTTGTTCTGTAACATTTTGGTCATTGTTTAATGGCGAATCATTTTATGTTGATATACACTGTAAAAATGCAAACATTTTCGTGCGTAGAATTTGTTCTTTTTCAATCTTCAGATTATTTTCTGTTTGTGGAAATTATTGTATTGTTGATACTGCTGTAAGATATTATATGAGCATGTACAAATGTATGTTTCGTAAATGTTAGTTGCATTGTCTTTGTATCACCCCCCCCCCCCCCCCCCCAAGTAAAAGGGGGGGGGGGGCCAGCCACAGATAGTATTGTCCACCCATGAATATCAATCCCATATGTCCCATCACAAGGGTCACCGATCTACTGACTCTATTTAACATATTTTCAGCTGATACAGAGGTCAAATATGAGAATACTTCTGATGAGTTCGTATTTCAGGATCCCAAGGCTAACTCTTTAACCACTGTAGACCATAATGGACTCATCCAAATCAATGCATGGTAGAGTTAACTAAAGTTACATAGGGGTGAAAGGATTAAGAGAAAAGGTGGCATTTTGTCTTGCAGATTTTTTTCTCTTGTTTACTGAAAGATAAAATGTGGACTTCCCAAACTTATGCTCCCTCTATTACAGTTATTTCTTGGACACAGATATTTAAGACCTGGTCTCATATGTTTTTCTCCTGTGAGACCTAAATACTAGCCAACGGATGAAGTCCTACAAGTTTAAGCCTTATCCATATTTTCATACTAAATATTGAAAACTTCCTCTAGCCCAAACGTAAAATCTACTAGCACCAGCATCAGATGTATAAATATATTCATTGCTTATAGCTATTTTAAATCTTCTAAAATGGTGTCATCTTGATTAAACTTATTTTTTCTTCTGTCATCTACTATCTGCGATAGTTGCAGTGCTCGTACTGTCTGTTGTCCACCCTGATTAAAAATGACGATGTCGGTCGAACCTCACATTCGTCAAATACCTTGTATTCCTCAAACTATTGATCTGGACCCCACGAGTTTGTAAGTGTTCTGTGTTTTTCTGTGTCTCGATAAAGATGTGGTTGCTCAGAAAATTTGACAACCTCATATTTTCTACACTTCTTTGCCCAATATACATGTATGAATATTATAATATATATATACATGTATATGTTTCAAGCATTTACAAAGTAGTTTTCTCCCTAATTCTACACATGCATATATCACTGACCTCCAGACAGTTGGTCATCATTTAAGAAGTCCCAATATAGTGACTAACAATGATAAGTGGCTCTGTTGTCGGGCCACTGGTCATGTACATGTGCACTTGTCCGAGTCACATGTATAGCGTCCAGGTCACCTGGTACACATGCACCTGACGTAGTACTAAAGCACTCTCTGCAGATAGTAACAAGATGGTTTAGTGCAATCTAGCCATGCTTTTACCTTTTTTTCTCAGGTAACAAACTTGCACAGGGTGTTAATTTCCTGGCACTGAATATGTAAAGGAATACCATCGAGTTAACTCATTCATCCCTGAAGACACATTTGAACTCTTTCAATTCAATTTTTATCATTAAGGATCCCTGTCCCACTGCACTGTGTTTGTTATCAATAACCCTTTCACCACTCTAGACCATAATGGACTTACCCAGATCAATGCAAGGAAGAGTTTACTAAAGTTACATAGGGGTGAAAGGGTTAAGAAGGATCCCTATATATAGCCAGTAAGCTCAACTTACCCTTTCTTTAACATAATCTAACAGATTCATTTCTACTAAACATTTTTTTGTAACTTAAGTCAACCCTCTATGACACAAGTAACAAAGGTCAGTTGCTGTTCCCTTTGGTCACGAGATTCAGAGCCCATAAGTTCCAGTATTGCTTTTACTGAGAATACAGGTGCCATAGTTGCTTATATAACCAGATGAAAAATGCAGGCCTTCTGGGCCTTTTGTACGCATAAATAACAACTGTATGTGTATAATTATCTGCCAATTAATCATAATTTTAAAAATGATTTAATTAATGCCAGATTTGTTAAGATATTAAGTAAATATATTCTATGTACAACATAAATATATATAACTTCAAAATTGAAAATAATTCATTAGATATTATAATTTCTGTGTGAGTGACATTTATCTTATGAAGAACATAGACTTGAGAATTAATTTCAATTGTTAATTACTAATTTATTTAATATATATTCGTACAGAAGATCACACATTTTGATGATTTACTGCAGTTGTATATATGCAGCTTAACCTTAATTACTTATAAAATTCTTATTTTAAGTACCCGCTACCACTACCAAAAATTGTAACTATGAATTAGAAATATTTTGTCACGGTAATGTCAATAAATATGATATTTATATAATTTTTATTTATGAAGAAATATCCTTATAATGATTCAATAAAAAAGGGGGGAAAAAATGAAAAAAAAAGTCAGTAACAGTTTTCTTGGAGTAAATTAACAGGGCCGGACTGGGATTTAAACCCTTGACATCAGTCACATTTATTATTTAACAAAATGAGCTACCTGATCATGATCAGCGGCAGTTCTCCTGGCCCAGTCCTATAACATAAGGGGAGGTTACTCTGTGTGTAACATGAGAAAGAGAAATGCAACAGCCAGATCAGGATTCAAACCCAGGACCCTCCTACCTCTAGACGGATGCTCTACAAATTGAGCTATCTGGTCACTGACGATCGACCCAGTCTGACTCCGCTACATAAGTATGAACCACTACATAGGAGTTATCTAGTGTTTTACCTGTAGTGGGACAGGGATCTGTAATAGGATGTAAATTTCTTTGTATCTAGTTATATGATTTTCAAATAATATTTTGATAGACCTTCTGGACTTTCTCAAGTTTTACATGATAAATTTAAATGTTAAAGTAATTTAGGTAGTGACAAAGTCAAATTGTGCATATTAGCTCAGTAGAAAGTGTTTAGGAGGTTGTTAAAATGAAGGTCAGTCTTAGCTAAGTCAATATATATGTACAGAATATAACATTGCCAAACAGGTCATTTTTTCTAGATCTGTATTAATTATATATAAAGTTATAATATAACAAAAATGGTTGCTATCATATATTGTTTCGAAGGTGTGTCAGGTCCCTGTGTTTTAAAAGAACCTATCATTGCCAAGGAATTGTCAGGTCCCTGTGTTTTATAATAACCTTTCATTGCCAAGGAATTGTCAGGTCCCTGTGTTTTATAATAACCTGTCATTGCCAAGGAATTGTCAGGTCCCTGTGTTTTATTTTAACCTGTCATTGCCATGGAATTGTCAGTTCCAGGTGTTTTATAATAACTTTCATTTCCAGGGAATTGTCAGGTCCCTGTGTTTTATATTACCCTTTCATTGCTTTGAAGGTATCAAGTCCCTGTAGGCCATATTAAAATGTTTGCTGTGAAGAAATAATCAGTATTATAGAACACATATA